TTATCTAGTCAAACAATTCATGTACAGCCATTCAGGAAGAATAGTGAAATGGGTCGTAGAATTAGGAAAATTTGACGTAACATTCGAGACCAGAAACTCTATAAAAGGCCAAGCTTTGGCCAATTTCACTACCAAAATCACTCCAACAATCGATTGCACACTTGATGATGAAATCTAGCATTATACGTGGATGGATCGTCCAGACTTCGTCGAGCAGGGGCAGGATTTGTGTTAATTAGTCCCAAAAGGAAGTTATTTTGTTTAGAAATTAGATTTTAATTTTCCTCCACCAACAATGAGGTTGAATACAAAGCCCTTCTTGTTGGACTAGGTTTGACACGATCAATGGGTTTGAAAAGATTAGAAATCTTAGTGACTCCATGCTAATATTAAATTATGTGAACGAAATTCAAAGTTAAGGAGCCTAGACTAATTCCTCACTTCAATTAAAAGGATGGAAGCTCACTCCACGAAACAAAAATGCTCAAGGCCAACCCATTGTCCTGTTTAGCATGCGTTACTACCGAGTTATTTAGTACTTCACTAGTTTGGTAACTAACAACAATTTGTATTTGTCATTGTGGTGATAATAACTTAATTTAATTATGTAAGCTTGTTGAAGAATTGGATTGATTGTTGTCTCTGCGGAAATTGTGAGAGAAACAGAGACTGTGAATGGTGGTTTCTTTTCTACTCAATTTATTCATCATGTGGTAAAAATCGAAAATATGAGTTGTAGATCCGATTTTTCGGTTACTGAATACTGTATCTGATAGCCGAGTGCACATATCGATTCGGTTTCGGTAGCAAATTTCTAAAAAACTAATAATTTGGATCGGTTCGGGAACCGAACCCATCCCTAGAATCACAAGTAACATTTTACAATAGTACAATTTATTTTCTATGTGTACATTTTATTTGTAGTGAACTTATGTAAAATAAATATGTACAAAAATTCTATAGAGCCATCGGATGATTTTCTTATGGAACCATCCGTCACTTAATGTGTTGATACCTATTTAAATTGTATTTATTGTATGACACGTGTCAATGCTGTAAATATGTATACATACTCAACGATTTTTTTAAGAAATTGAGTGCGGCCTCAAATTGAGGGAGGCTGCATATATGTAACGCCTACTTGCTATTTTAATGAAAATGTTAATAATTTCTAAAGTAAATTAAAATTTCAAAAATCTGGAATTCTTTTTCTCAGGCAGTTACTCAAAATATTTCTTTCTTTTTCTGAAAATTCTAACTCTTTATCTACTAAAAGAACTGTAACTCTTTCTCTTTATCTCGGCCCAAAGCTAGCTAAGGGTCTATGGGAACTAACTCCCACAAATAATAAATCGAGACATCCAGAGTACTCAGATCATGAATGCATATAATCTCAAATAAAGTCTCATAATTCTCAATCTCAAATAAAGTCCCATAAGGATGAGTGAATGCTTCGGTAGGAAACTCGAGGGCTCGACTCCTCGGGATCTACTGAAATGAACTCTAATAAATATTCTAACTCTAATCTTGGTAAGTTAATTTACCAATTTGAAGAATTTTTCTAGCTTAAGGTTCACGACTTAATTCTTTATCTTTCTTAGACGTTGGAACTCTCGACTCGAACTCTTCTCAAAATCTCTAAAATTAGGCTCAACTCAAAAGTTCATAAAAAGTCTCAAATAACATTTAAAATTTCTAGAAAAAAATAGCTTGGGACATTTAAAAACATTTTCTACTCATTTTGAAATGGTTCAGTGCGGCTCATTTTGGTCCAGTGCGGCTAAGTGCTCAATGGCTCGACAGCGGCTGACACCGGTCGCTATTCAGTGTTGCTGTCTAGCCCGGCACCTGCACGGGGGCTGCTATTGGCTACTAACTGCTCAGTGCATTTGGATACTGAGAGCATGCACTTTACCATTATGGTCTGCTGGACATGGCTTGCTGACCTTCGGTAAATTGTAGACGGTCTGGAGCTGCTGGGCGCCCACGCTCAGAAACAGACAGCTGGGGCGCGGCTCAGGTCACTAGCGCAGGCTCTCGTGGTTCTCAGCGCACCTAGCATGCAGGGCCCTCACACACTAGTACGCGAGTCGCCTACGAGTCTTACGCGACACTGGCCGACTGCGACTACAGATGTTGTCATCCGGCACAGCGACGTCCATTTTCGACATCTCCCTTGCTTATCCACAATCACTCAAGACCAGTCTAAAATGGTATTTTTAAGCTAGAAATAATTTTTACAAAAACCAATCTCCTCAAAATAAATCTAAGGCATTGGAATACTAATCTTTCTCAAGCATTTATCACAAAAACAATACAGGTTTAACTTAGAAAAATCTAGTCTCTTTTATCTCATTTTCAAAAATAAATGGAGTCTCAAGTAGGCTATTTAACTCAATTTATCAAACGAAAAAGAGGCAGGCATTTATCTCGCCTATATAATACTTTTAAAATCACGAATTCTCAGAGCCTCGTAACACCAAGTCCAACATCAACATATATATCTCATATCTCGTGAATTTATCTCAAATTCAATAAATCCAAGTCAACGAAGCTTAAACTATCTTAAATCCTCCAATAAAACCATAAAAATATTGAGAAGGTATAGTCGTATACATTCTTCTGGAATCTACAAGAGGCTCGATAGAATCGGAGGTCGCACGGCCTCGAACATGAAACCAGCCTTTTGAATAAGGCTCTCGAGTAAAGGTCTGCCAGCCTCTCGGCTCGATCGTGAATAAGATGCTGCTACACTTGACGAGTTCACGAACCAACGGCTGCTCGGGCAAAAGACGCATGGAGGACGACGGCTCAGCCTGACCAACATGCCCATCACTGCTGCTCACCATGTAACGGCTTCTGCTCTCTGTAAAGAGATTCTGCTGAGGGCGTGCGGCCACTGTGCCTGCTTGCTGCGGCTAATCGGGGTCGCCGGCGGAAAAGGGCCAAAATATGAAACTCGTATGGCTGAAAATAATAAGCTTATAAGAGTTGAAAATATAAGGCTAAAAATCGGTCTCGATAATTTCTAAGAATCGAGAATAAATAAACTTGTCGAAACCGAAATCCGCTCTATATATAATTTCAGAATGCACTGAGCCTACGTGCCAAACTCTCATGCTTCGGAATCTTATTTGGCAAAAATCATGCTTTGGAGTTAGGCTTGGATATAAATTATTATTTATATTAATTGTATTTTAATATTATTTCTTATTATAACCATTGAATTGAAAATATATTTTAAAAGTTGATAACTTTTGTATTTCTTATCGCTTTTACATATATAATATATCAAATTAATCATCTTTTGATGAGTTTCGATTTGACATCCATATTGTATATATAAAATTAAATAAATTATATTTATCTTTATAATAATAAAAAAATATTTATTAAAATTAATTAGAAAATAAAATTATTATCAATTAATATAGTTATGTTTAATTTAGTTATATGTTATAAGGTAGAAAATTTATTATAATATAACACATATAAGTCGCATAAGTAACATGTGTCATACTAAAATATATAATAATATATACTCCCTCCTATTTTTTTTATTTGTCACTTTGACTTATCATTGATAAAATAAATGTCGTTTTAGATATTTTGTTCATATTTATAGTGTTTCTTCATATCCCATATTCATCGTTTCTCATAACATCCATTAAATAGAGTTAATATTGTCAAGAAAAAAATCTTAATTAGTGTTGCATTTGAATTGATATTATGAAGTCCGTTTGTATTTTACTATTTATTTATATATATATATATAATACAAAACAATAATATATATCCTTATAAATAAAATTTAAATTTATGTATCAAACTAAAATAAATTATATCAAATAAAACTATAAATTATATTATAAAGTAATAGAAATTGGTATGTATTATTTTAAAAATTATATTTATTTCAAATCTAATTGATATGTTGTCAATGTAATAAAAATAAATAATTATTTATATAAATTCTAAAATTTCATATACAGTCAAAAAACTGTGAAGCACGTCTGATACGACACTTGATGTATTAGGCATCTAATTAAGTAAAAAAAATTGATCTATTTGTTTAATATTAAATAAACATATTTTACACTTATGCATATACATATCACCATATTGTTTCTATTTATTTAAGTTATATATTTTTGTACTTATGTAATAGTAAATAATATCGATACTTTTATATGATATAAGTAAAAAAATTCAACATGGGTTGACATTTTTATTTAATGTACGGGTGTTTAATTATGATTAAAAAAATATAATTTGACAATTTAATTAAAACCCAAAGTAATATTTTATATAAAATAAAATTATTTTAGTTTAAAAAAAAATTAATATTTTTACAAAAGCTTTCTAATTCAACACCCGTGTAATACACGGGTATTGTACTAGTCTGATATACAACAGCTTCGACGGCTTCTAAAATAAATAAGTCGAATAGAATCGAATAGCTAACGATTATTCGATAATTTGAATAATTTAAATAGACACTAACGATCTAAATAAAATATTTCTCTTAACAGATTAAATAAACACTAACGTCTAATTAATCTGAAGAACTTGTCGAGCTGGAAAGTTTAAATGCAACTAACTGCATAATTAAAATAAATAATTGAGATGTGTCTATTAAATGATCGGGGCGCTACAATATATAAACCCATGAACCTGAAACATGTCCGTCTTTTGACCTCAATTGATTGTTACCAAATTATTATGACCAAATAAACTAAATTTTTTAGAAAAATGCTACAAGTACATAAAATGTATATAGAGATGTACATAACACTCACATGAAATGAGTCCACTTGACTTTTTATATTTGGTAGGACCACTTAATGTGAGTGTTATGTACACCTCTATGTACAGTATTATGTACTTATAGCATTTCCCAATTTTAACACCCCCTCGGCCCGAAAAACCACCACATATTCCCAACCCCTCTTGCATGAAAAGCAACCACATATTCACAAATAATGATAACAAGAAATCAAGGTGAATCTTGTATATGCGCTAGGAAAATTGATTTGAATTGAACAAGTTCATGTACTCCAGCTGCTAAACCAACGAAACAAAGTTCTTCAAGGTAAATACATAGCAACTTCACTTTCTACATAAACACATATATTACACATCACAAAACAAACTTATAATTCTTGGGCCTTGGCCGAGAACGTAAAGGGAGAAAGAAAGGCAGAGAAAAAAATAATTCAGTTTTTCTCAAATTCACCAATCTTCATCCGGTGCTCATTCTCCGTAAAATTCGATCCAGTCATCCCGAGCCCTTCATTTTGGTGCTTTTCCCATCCGCCAGTGTCGGCCTTCGAGTGGGCCCAGTAATACAAAACCGAGGCCACCATTGACATGATAGTGAGGGCAGCACCAGCACCAAACACGCCCTTACGAAGAGTGGCGCAAGACAAGTGCTCCACATGAAAAATGGCTGTGTACTTTGTGTGGTATGCATTCCTAGCTGACCCCGCCAGCAGGCATGCCTCGGCTGCTAAAAAGGTCACCCTGTATTAAAAATACATAAATATGGAATGTTATCAATGTGTGTAGAAAAATAAAAAATAATGGAGGATTGAAAACAAACAACTTCCTTGGAGTTTTGATTTAATTAAAGAGAAGCCCAATTTTGTTCATAACTTCTTTTTTTTTAGAAACAACAACTACTCCCTTCAGGGTTTGTATCTTCTTAAGTACACTGATCCTGAGGTGAAATTTGTATAAAGGAACTGCATATAAGGGGTTATTTGAATATTTGTATTGGAGCAAAAGAGTTTTGACTGATTGAAAGGAAGTTTTTTGTGAGGGAAAATGAATGCATAGATCACTTTATACACAGCATATCCGACATTTCAATTGTCTATTTATCAGATGACTTGCTTGAGTGGCATGCCTCCACTCTATTGACCAATCTCAATATGGATTCCATTATTACAAACAGGGGACTAATAATTCAAACTAATACACACGTAACTCTATTCCATAGTTGTTACCATGCATAAATCCTAATAAAGCACAATGAGTTTAAACAAAGGTTATCACATGAATGCTACAGACCATAATATATCCTTCTTACGTGCCGAAAGCGTAAACGCAAGAGAGATTTGAGAGGAAACCCTCGAATATATTTTTATTCAATCAAAATCAAACAACTAGAACAATAAGAGAGAAGTCATTTAAATAGAACTCCTAGAAGCCGTAAGTAAATAACTTGCCTAACAAGAAAAGGAATAGGAGAAATAATTAATAATGCCTACCAAATCTAATATGAAAATACTAATAAAATAAAGGAAATAAATAATTTAATTAATGATGCTAAAAGATGATTCTTTTCCAAAAAGGCCAATGCAATCTCGTCTCCATCACTTTCATAGGCAGTTAAAAGTCCAATTATAAATCAAGAATAATCAAATTTAAGAAATGAAAGGATGAAGCTACATGCAAGAACCAACAGAATGGAAACTAAAAAAGAAAAAAAGTGAGGAGAAAAAATAGCTCCGAAAACTGCAAACAAGTAAAGCTGTTTTCATCATTTTAATATTTTATTTTGTCTTTCTCTAAAATCTTGAGGGCTCAAAATGAGCAGCTGCTAATTCTATCGCTTCTTGGTGCAGCCATTAGGAATAACACATTTATGATAGATTACAACAATATGATATTTTGAGCACACTACAGAGTACCTGCTAGCTATGTGCCATGCACATAATACACTTTAGTGGAGAAATAATTCTAACATGTTCAAACAAAATTGTACAAAAAAAGAAAGGGCCCACCAGTGTTACCACTTACCAGTGGCGGAAGGCGGAAATCACACAATGGTGGCCTATAGCGCCGCCATAATGCCATCCTTCACAAACTTCTTAAAGAGCCTCATATGAACTAAGATTTTCGTCATGTTCTAATTTCAATGCATCACAATCAAATGTTCAATTATTATTTACGTATAAAGATTTCAAAATCGCCCTCTAACAGCATGCAGTTTATGCTGTAATCCAATTCTCACGTTGTTAACCTCAATGCCGGAAAATTGAAGTACAACAATTTACTAAAATGAGATTAAATAGTGCGGTGGTTAAAGATTGACTTGATCAACGAACCAATGCACCAAGAATGAAAAATTTTAGGCTTATCAAACTAGCTCCAGCTTACCGAGCATTACCTAAGACAAAAATGCAAATTCAGATAGATTCTATGCTTATCTAAAACACAAGGAAGTTCATCTAGAGATTATCAATGGGAGATTCAGAGATTAGTTGATAATTCACAATAAGGGAGAAAGACAGAATTCTGAAGGGGATAAAAAAAATGCCAAAACAAGAAACAAATTGCTGTATAGTGGCTACACTCATTAAAAGCAAAAGGTTACACTTATTAATTGGTTTAGTGTCAATGTGCCAATTAACGAAAAAATGTCCATGTCAAAGACATTGACTTCTCGAAGCACGATTTCATTCACGAGATATTAATATTACATTGAAACTGCTTAAGGTACATTGAAATGAAAGTGTCACCACTCCATAGCAGAGTCTAGACAGCACATACAGCATTTAGGTCGGCTCCTCACGACCAAAGAAATTCACCTAGACGTATCTAAAAATAAGTTCTCACACAATTCTCTTCATGCACAAAACTACAGAAAGCATAGTAATCTGAAGCACCATCAAAGTTACCTTAGTCAAAAAAGCTAATTAACCAGAAACCTAAACGAAACAAGAGCATAATACACAGACAATACCATCATATACTAGTTTCAGTAAGTTCACTAGATAATGAGCACAAAGGAAAAAGCCAAAAGCATCACCAATCCCACTAAATTACTGAATAACCGAATAACTTACTGAGCAAACAAACAACAAGACTAGTACGAGCAGCAAAATTCACAACACATTCACGAAGAAATGGGGACTTAAACGGCAGAGTAAGGTTACCATGAGAAAATGAATGAAAAAACAGCACAAGTAGTGAAGCGGCCACCCATCATCCCTCTCCCGAAGCACAAGCACTTGGTAACGCCGTTGATTAACGCCTGCGCAACCAGCAGCAGCCCAAACGCCGCCAGTCCGTACACCGTCGACGCGTCCGACCCGTAAGCGCAGTATGTTCTCTCGTCATACTCGTCGGGGACCACTTTTGCCTACAAAAGGAAACGAAAAGGAAATATAGAAATCAAAATCCAGCCAAGACGAAGAGAAATTAGCTGAAGAGAAAAATATGGGGACAAAAGGGCACCGTGCTACGGCGTCGCTCGGCGCCGACGGCAAAAACGAAGGCAATGAGGTGAAGGGAAATTGAGATCGCGAGAATGGGAACTGAAACTCCCATTTTTGTTTCTTGTGTAATGGCCTTGCTTTTCAGTTCTCCAAGCAGTGAACTGTGTGTGTAGTGTGTGAAATGTGAAGTAATAATTGAGTGTGTGTGCCTTTTGCTGTTTCTTGGGGTAAGGAAATGAAAGTAGGAAAGAGGTGATTGTGGGTTTTGTGTTTTTCTTTTTCTTTTTAATTTTTTCTTTTTCTTTTATAATGCCCTTTGGCCTTTTGGATGGTTTATGGGTTAAAAGATGCAAAGCAAAAAATAGTGTTGTTATTTTTGTATATATTTGTGACTATAAATTAGATTTTTGTCGAATACTGCGTGTTTTGGTGCAAATTCGTAATTTCATGGCACTGCTTCTTGGTGCAAATTAGATTTAGATTTTTGTTGCAAATTCATAATTTTGGTATTATTTTTTAGCTCGATAACAACGACTGCTAAGGCAATGTACAAGAAAATATATAGAGATCGGCCGAATGTTTTCCGAAGTGCCACTTTCTTGTATTGTTTTATATGAGGTACATTACACCGTCGCCGATCATATGAGGTATTAGGCGAGACTCTTGACAACGATCTGAGGTGTAATAGTGGGGACGCCTTGGATTTTGGTTGAACTTGATGGTTGATCTTGAGAGCTTGAGGGGACTCATCAAGATTCCCCCTATCAAGCCCCCATCTCTCGTTCTGGTCCAGGATGATTATCCGATCTCCAGATGGTCATGATCAAGCACATGATTGTGACCGCTCGGACTGGTAGATCAAACGTCTTACTATGCAAGGGCCGGAAGAGTTGGTGAAGAAGTCGCAAAAGGAAAATATTGCCAGAGTCACCCTTAGATCGTCCGGCTACTATGTAGTCTATAGTCGTTGTTATTTTAGTACCGATTATTCCACCCTCTTAACATTCTTGTTGAGGGTGAACTAATCGATCCATACTCTTTTTGAAGGTGAACTAATGTAAAGATAGCGAGATGGTTTTGAGATTTATGTTGGGCATTATAACGGGATTTATGGATGTGAAGTAACGGGTTTTTGAGAGGTGTATTTGTGAGTGTCTCTTTGGGCAAAGTAACGGGATAAGAGAGACCATTTGGAGGATCGGTTAACCCGCCCTTTGATTTGGACAGAACAACGTGATACAATGGATCATTTGGTGTGCGGCTGCAGTCCAACTGAACGATTGCATCGCGCTCTTTCTAGCGTCATTTTGTTGACGTATGATTTTGTCAACAAGATTACGAAGTCGTAATATGCTATAAACATGAATAATTGAATAAGAAGTGGTGATATGCTATATTGGGGGGTTTATGATTAGTGTTTTCAAGGTAGATAAAGGCAAAAATAAAGACAGAAAATGAAATAGGTACAACACGACAGTCGACAAATTGAGTGTTGTGTTGCTTGCAGCGAGGGTTTATTTAAGGATTTGGGCATCTCCTGAATCTCTTTTACAAGAGACTATTGAAGGATATTTGAACTACAATACTAGTGATGATTTCTAGTGCAGTAAGCGTATCATCTATAACTTTTGATGATCAATGGGTGTTCATTCGATGTCCCTGACAAGCTCCAAGGCCTCGTTATTTATAGAAGCGGGAGACCATTAAAATATATTATTTTTGGGACACGTGACGGACTCTCAGATGTCAGCTATATGCAAAGTGTCGCGTGTCCCCACAACTTTTTCAAGTATCTCATTAGGCAGTGCGAAGCGGTTCTGGATGGTAACCTTTTACACTAGCTTTAGGTGAGATCGGTATGAAGGAAGCTCCATTCTCTTATGGCCAAATTGAGGAATTAACCTTCTTTACGCTATGGCAACGTTGTCTGACGCGCCTTTAGCCTGAAGTGAGATTGGCTCGGATGATGGCTTTTATGTTCTTCGGACATGCCTGACCGATGTACTCTTAAGCCCTTGTGTTGGCCTCGCATGCTGGGACTTCGAGTTATCACCAGCATTCGTCCATGTCATTGTTGTTTAATAGGGTTAATCCAGATTAGGCGGATTTTTTAGTACAACCACTATATCATGGATCTCCAATAATTTTTTTAGTATACCAACAACTATATCATGGATCTCCAATTACTTTTTAGTACAACAACAACTATATCATGGATCTCCAAGTAATTGGAATTCCACACCAGCATGAGTGTTTGACTTCTTAATCCTCAACAAAAACACGAATAATCTAAACGCTTTTAATCCCAAAACACTTTTTTTTAATCTAAACAATTATATTAAACGTGTGGGTATTTTATGCGCGGCGACCCGACATCGGGTCAAATGTCTACATTCATCATGCACACACTACACATTTAAATCATACAAAGATCCCAAAAAGAAATTATTAGAAAGCGATTTCTTAAAACTTCGGGCCGAATCTTAATGCAATCGAAAAAAAAAAATGTTTTCGTATTTTGCTTCATTTTTCTTGAACGGGCCCTCCCACAATGTCTCCAGACCTATCAACAATCCTCCCAAGGTTCTTATAGTTTCTCGACGGACCGCACGAAAGAATAAATTTGTTGATTTTGTTGATACGTCTTCATATTCGTATACAAACAATTCATACAATAATACATTTTTTTTTTCTTTTTCTTTTATACATGTGTGTTTGTACTGATAGACTGATCTAATTTGTCCCGTCATTTTAAAAAGAAAAAATGTGTCATTTTAAAAAGAAAAAAATGTGGCGGGACGCGTTTGATTTCCCGGGGTGCGTTTAAGAGATGGTACTACAGCAAATAAATGAAATAAGACCAAACATTCAGAATTGTCATCTATAATAGAAGTGACAATTACAAAACTGAAGTCATTACCCAAAATCGTGAGCCAACCTAACATATGTCTGAACCATCAGGCTCCCGCCTTCAGCTGATAAACACTGCATTTTTTTTATTTTTTTTTCAAATAGACTCGAGGTAAATTTTCTTGTTAAACCTATATAATTTTTTCGAATAATATTCTCTCGTCTACAAATACAGATAAAAGAGATGATGACGCAATGCTCAACCCTTTTTTCCTCAAAGCAAAAAATGGCCATTAAAAATAAAACGAGAAATAAAACAAAATAAAAAGAAAACAAACAACAAACTCGAAGATAGAGTCAAACTCATAACGAGCTATTATTCCTAAACATCAGTTCATTAGCCGACATTTCTCGCAAAGCCACACTTAAGCCAGAGAGTTGGTACTTCGTATACATTACAAACACAGAGCTGGGCTTCAATCATCACACTCGACTGCGATTTCTCTATCAAAAATCCCAAAACACGCAGACATAAATTACATGTACAACCCATGACAGTTCANATATTGTTCTATATCAAGACAAAAACAGATAAAACAGCAAGTGACAGAAAACATTAGGTGAAGTATTCAACATTCGAAGCTCAGCATAACCCATTTCCTTTCCTTTTCTTCTACACTTTACTTGTTCTTCAAAGATTTTACCTACGGTGAAAGAAAGAGAAATCTGGGTGATTAACCTGCAGCAAACTCAGCCAGTTACTAGCCGCTTGCGAGAGAGTGTTTGCCAGCTGGCGCTCGTAACCCGTATTAGGAGTCCATATTGAAACTTTGTACTTGTACGAAGCAAGGCCAAAAACCGGGAGTGAAATGTGCGCAACACCATCACCCGCGTTCGGGTATTTCACAATTGGAGGATTCATAGTTTCACTTCCTGCAAAATCGCAAAAGGAGACTAATTTAACACGATATATATATATATATATATATATATGCATAGAGAGAGAGGGATTTCAGATATACCTGTCATGGGTGTATGAAGAGAATGAAAGGTTAAAAAGCAAGCATCGAGATCTCTAAGAGTAGGACCCGTTGGTATTCTGTATATGGGATACCTATTAAAAGGCGATATTTATCAGCAAGTCTAATAAATTGTGAGTTGAGGGGCCAAAAAAAAAAAGAAAAGGAAAAGCATTGTTATAAATTCGAACAAAATACCAGGCCACAGAAATCCAACTGGACGGAAGCAAATCACAACTCCTAAGCGTTTTTAGTTCCGGAAAATTGAGGGCTAAATCCAATATCTGTGCATGAGTTGGTAACACATGAAATGAATATATAAAAAGAAAAGAAAAAATAAATATCAAGAATTCATGAGAAAAGAAAAATATATGCCTTGTTTGCCAAAGGTTCTCTACAGTAGGGTGGGTCCCGTTCCAGATACTCGAACAAGAGGGTACCCTGCGAACTTCCATATTCGCCCTCGTCACTGGAAAAGCCTTCTTGAAGTGACATAAGCTGCTCTCTGGTGTAATTCAAGCCGACTTTTTCTTGGTCACTATCACTGCTCCCTTCACTGCTGGAATCCCTAAAATACTCACCATCACTTTCTTCACCTAATCGCCTAATACACAAGAGAAAAATATAAGACTAGGATAAAGTGCATAACCCCGAACTCGGTTAGTTAAAGTCGTAAATAAATATCCCTAGAAAACATGACAAAAAATTGACAAATTAAGAACAGAAAATTGCTACTTCAAGTTAACAGAATAATAATCAATCACTCCTTGCTAGCTATATTTAATTTTAACACGTAATTCAAAAGATGATGGATTCATCTTCATGGGTTTACCGGCGAAATACACATCATTAATGCCTATAACTTAAAGGGGTGAAATGAAAAAAAAAAAAAATCCAAAACAGAAGCATCTTCATGGGTTCACTTTAAATTTGATGTTGTTGCAGCTAATGCCTTTGATTTCTACTTGACGAGACAGATATGCCTTCATGTGGTCAGTAACAAAAGTCTTATCCAAAAAGAAAAGGAAAAAAAAAATCTAAAATGTTAACAGTAAATGTGAGACTAACCATAATACAGCTACTATCAGCAAAACCAAAGGTGCGAATTTCATTTAATTAGAACGAATGAGTGGACATGATAAAACCAACTATAAGATGTTCGATTCTTTTCAACACAGGTCCAACATCAAAGACTTATATTTCATGATTGGGAGAAGGACAAATAATATGAACAGAACATAAACCTCGTCATTGTTCACCAAGAAAAATCAAGAATCATTCCTTGTGCACCACCTCTTTCAAGAGAATGTTAGTTTTATAATGAAGGAACTATGCATACCCACAGTCATTCTAAAAATGTTCTTAATACAGACAAATACCTCAATTTGGCTGTACTTTTTGATCTGTCAGCATACAATTGAATGCCCGATAAATAAGGAACATAATACTGAACCACACCATCAAGGCCGTTCAATATCAAAGGCACTCCAACTCCATATGCACTCCATTCCTTAAAAGACTCCCACAAATCACTTAGCACAAAGAAGGGTTGAAACTCCGAATCACAAGTTCTCCAACTCCTCGCTTTCATCTGCAACATCTAACAGAAAACATTTCAACATTGACAGATTTCGATAAAGATGCATGTTATATGACATTTTTCAACAAGCAAGTGATAAAATAAATGCCATGTTACCCATATCAAGTGAAAGCTATGCTGTGATAATCAATACATCATAAAGCATAATATTCTGATAAGAATTATATGAAATCGTTTCTTCTGCTGTTCCGCAACAATAATCATGGGTTTTTCTAAAAAAAGATAAAATATGCCAGAACATTGGTAAACAAGAACAATACTAAAGTACAGAACTCTACAACATTGATTAACAAAGCAGTTACGAAGAGTAATACAATTCTATACATGCAACCGGAAGCCGAAAATCTGACAGGGATAATTCTTAATTGTCAGTCATAATTAATTACTAATTAAGTTTGTTCGTTTGAAGCACGATTCAAGCAATTAAAACAAAGAAAATGAAATTCAACTGAAAATAATTATTCTGCCCAAACAAAGCACTCTCATCCTTCGTCCGTCAAAAACCAACACTATGAATGAACCACAGAGCTATGTCACCGATTACACAGCTAAATTTCACGCTAATTGAATAAACTATTACATCCTTAAAACGCTGACTCTGTGAGTCAACAGCAAGTTATATAGCCAATAACACCACAGATTTACGGATATTCACAATCAAGAAGCTTAAGTTCATCCTTCACCGTGAATGAATTAAAATAAACAAAACAAAAGGGGAAAAAAGCAAAAAGAAAAAGGGCAAAGAATAAACCTAACACCTTAGATAAATACTGCGCTGGCACCGAAGGCGTCACCGACTCCAAGAACCTCTCCAAATTACACAGCGGCGATGATTCTGACACCGGTGGTGATGCCGGAATTTCTGATTTCAACTTTTCCGGCGCCATCTCATCGGGCACGCTCCTTGAACGGTTAGAGACGTCGTCTCTCTGAGCCCTCCGCAACTGCTCTTGGCTCAGGCGAGCCCTGGCCACGCTGTAAAACCTATCCCCGCCGTTCATACTCCCAAACTCCAATCCTGCCCCCAACATATTGCCCAAACAAAGCCCAGAAAAATCCTAAATCTACCCAAATAACTACAGGCTATCTCCTTTATCAGAAAAGCTTCAATCCTAAAACCAAAAAAAAAAAAAAACAGCTTTTTCCCCTTTAATAATTATCCGTCTTTGTTCTTGTTCAAAGAAAAGTTTATGTCCAGCTTTTCTTGATACCTCTGATCAGTCAATGCTGGAGATTATAGAGATCGAATCTAATGATAAATATCGACGAATTGAGAAGAGAAAAAAAAAAAATCAATCTTGAGGAACAATTTTATTTGTGCAATTAGGAAAAATGTGGTGCTTGAGCAGAGAGAGGGGAGAGGAAAATGAATGGGTATAAGAAAGAGAATAGGAGGAGGATAAAATAACTTAAAATATGTGATTAGATTATTAATCACTAATTTATGTTTGGGAATATAATAAATGAAAAAGGTAGAGTCAGTTGATGGAGAAAAATGTTTTTGCATAAAGCGCTCTGTGAAAATGGGCGGCTTTTGGAATTCGGTGTTGATATTTTCATTTATTTACGGAGATAATGAATTACTGTTATCCAGACGATGAGGTTTAAGACTATGTACACGTGGAGAAGAAAAAAAATAAAATAAAATAAAAATAAAAATATCATATTTCCTATAGCTAATTGTTCTTTTTAAAAGAAACGCTTTTTTCTAACTCTCTTGTGTATTGAATAATAAGAGATTGATATAGATGTATTCACTTAGAATTTCTAAAGACTTTTAAAAATTTTAGAAATTTTAATTTATTCAATTTAGACTTTTTAAAAGTTTTTAGTTATTCATTTGAGATTTTTAAAAGTTTTACAAAATCATGAGATATTTAATTTATTTGAGACTACGAATTTGCTAAGATTTTTTAAGATTTTGTGGGATTTCTAAAGAATAAACTTTATACCAGATCTCACTCTAAGGGGGTGTATTTAATTAGGATTTCTAAGGACTTTAAGACTGTAGAAATCTTGTTGTATTCAATTTAAATTTTTTAAGACTTTTGAAGACTTTTAAAAATCATGAGGTATTCAATTGAAATTTTAAAAAGTCTTACAAAATCCTAATGTATTTAATTTATTGGGCACTATGATTTATTAAGACTTTTTAAGATTTGGTGAGATTTCTAAACAAAAAAACTTATATGAAATCTCACTTCAAATCCTACCTCCAGACGTAAGATTTCGTAGAATTTTTCCAAAATCTGAAAATCCTAAAAAGTCTCAAATCTAATGATGTATTTAATTGGGATTTCAAGTGACATTTTGAGACTTTTTAAGATTTGAGATTTGTTAAGATTTTCAGATTTTGGAGAAATTCCGTGAAATCTTAAGTCTGGAGGTGAGTTTGAAGTAGGATTTCATATAAGATTTTTTGTTTAGAAATCCCACCAAATCTTAAAAAGTCTTAAGACATCCTAGTGTCAAATAAATTAAATACTTTAGGATTTTGTAAGATTTTTTAAAATTTCAATTGAATACCCCACAATTTTTAAAAGTCTTACCAAATCTAAATTGAATATACCAGGATTTCTAAAGTTTTAAAAAGTCCTTAGAAATTCTAATTAAATTTAAAAAGTCTTAAAATGTCACTTAAAATCACAATTAAATACACCCTCCTCAATTCCACTTCAAATTTTAAGATTTCACATGATTTCTCCAAAATCTGAAAATTTTAAAACGTCTCAAATTTTAACAAGTCAAAATGTCGCTAGAAATCTCAATTGAATACACCTCTTAAAATAAACAAGTGATTATTTTATGGCGTAAACAAGGAGATTATGTTCTTATTTGTTAGTCAACAGTTTAAGGCTAAATTAGAGTTTCGGGGTAAATTAAAAAAGTTTGACAGGTTATATTCATATTTATTATTTTCACAATTTGGTAGGTTGCAATTTAAAGATGATTTTTAAATTCAAATAAATGATTTACTTAAAAAGAAAAACTCAATATTATAAGAATTTTAATAAAGGGTTGTTAAAATTAGTTGATTTTTACATATTAAATAATTATTTATTTGCCAAACACTTTGCATGATCTGCTTATCCAATCAGGTAGTCAAAACTACTAACCCAATCACTACTCAGCTATGTTTTGTATATGAAACAAATATTAGCTTCCCTCCGAAGGCGAAAAAAACATTGTAGCGAAATCCTTCTTTTTTCCTCTGTAACTCTCTGTCCCAAGCTCTCCATTTGTGAAATTAAAAAATCCCCAATTCCTCTGTTGACCTAATTGAGCCATAAATCGCTTTTTAACTACTGTCGCGGCTCCGCCTCCTCCACAGGATGCCCGACTTTAGGATGGAGCTCGTCTGCGTGACCATGACGACAGTCCTTATCCTGCTTCGCTGCTCCCCCTCCAGGCGAGTCCGTCGGCAGTTCGTGTTGCCGGCTTGGGTGCTCGGTCGAGTCTTCCTGCGAAGGTCGCCGCTCTCTTGGTGGTCGGAGCTGGCGCCAGCAAAGGCGTCTCCCCTGGGACCATCTGATTTTATGAGGTTGTGTTGGGTGATTCCCCCTCTAATATGTTGTTCTTTTGGGTCGTTTTGTTAATGTTGGGGTGTTGTATTGGGAGAGGCGTCGGTCGCCGAATCCCATAGTTGTTGTCTAGTGGTGAGTTGTTCGGAAAGAGGGTCATGCCTTGTTGCTTGGATCAAGTTAGTCATAGCTTATTAAGCTCAGGAGTTTGGAGTTGCTAGATATGAGTCAGACTTGATTCTGATTATTGGTTATCTTCAAACATGTAATAACATGGCATCGTTTACGTTTGAAAATAATCAATTGTGATTAACATTTTTATGCCAAATAATCGTGTAGTTGCTGACAATGATTGTTAAATTTATAATTAAATTGTGTGGATATAGTATATAGTAATAAATTTTGTCATTGTTAAAAAAAATAATTTATTTTGGATATCATTTTTTAAATTGGTCTCCAAATTTGGATTAAAAAGATATCCGATTATTTATCCAAATAAATAAAATACAAAACTAGACTGAAAATTTGCTCCTACCAATCACATTTCACACCATAACTAATCTATCCCAGATTTCACTCGACACATTTTATTTCCCAAAAATAAAATATGCCATTCGATCACTTGGAGGAAAAAACTAAATAAAATAAAATAAAAAAACATTATCGGATTGAGAAGCATGTTCAATTCTGACTAAGCACAAACGTGATTGGTGCCTGGGGGATTTAGTTGAAAATCGAAACTGTCATGTGCCGGATGGCCCAGATCCCATCGTCTCGACACGTGTATGGTTAGATTTGTAGCACGTGCCATCCTTTTTTGGGGATGCGTTTCTTGTGTTATCTTGATTGGATGGGCCTCGCGTGAGGACGACGCGTCATAAAGGCGGAGGAGGTGGCGGATCGTGAGATTGTCGGTCCCACGTTTCATGGATAGTGACATGGAGCAATGAAGGGTCAACACGGGCGTTCATTTATTTACTCCATCTGTTTCGTTTTAAATGTCGTTTGTAGGGTGTCAACTTTTTTGCAAATTAATTGTCGTTGGAAATATTATATTCATTCTTACATTTTTATTCTCTTTAACAAGATTAAAATCCACCCATTAATAATTCAAAAACTAAATTTAATAAGATTAAAAAATAAGATTATTACACAACCCATTAAAATCGTAATTTAGAAGTTTTAAATTAAAACGACATTTAATAAGAAACGGAGGGAGTATTGTTTTTCTATTTTGTCATCACGCGCTCTTTAGTCTTTAGGACATACTAGTACAATTTTAAGGCTATTTATTCAGACTTATAATTATATACATGAATAAAGAAAAATGTACGAGATATATATAGTACGTGACCTGTGTGAAGCACGAGATATATTTATTTGGAGGATATTATATTATAAGATTCAATATTCAATAAAAGTTTATAATACGCAAGAAAATTGTACAATGTTCAATAAAAGTTTTATAATATTCAAGTGCAGTCTTAAAGTCTCTTGTACATTAAGACTACTGACGAAATAATATTTCAATCAATGAGTTTCCTTTCTTTGTAGCCAAATTGTGAATGTGATTTGAGGAATACAACAAATCGATATATAGCTGACTTGCTTTTTTCATTGTAGTTTTTTTTTCTGTTTTTTTTTATAATGAATTTAATGATATTCTAAAATATAGCAACAATTAATTTTTTTTATTACAATTAAGAATTTTACTAAATATAAATTCTCAATATATGGTGTTAATCAACGTTTAAGTCTAAAAAATTAGGAATTTTTACCTCTTTTAATGAATGTTTAAGTCTAAAAAACAATAGAGTTATCATAAAATTTTTTTCTACATCTTTTAAAACATTAAATATGAGCATGTTAGGGCTAACTTGTAAAATAATTAATATATTATCTCACTAAAACATTTATACTAATAAAAATTTAATTTTAGCATATAAATTTATCCCTTGATATAAGAGAAAGTAACAGTTTTACTTATTGTTGTTCATCATATAATATTTAATTATTATTTTATTATATAATAACAAAGAAATATTGTTAAATAGTGTTGTGGAATTGTTATAAAATTATATGATTTTTTTTTTTACAATATGGATTTAATATTTTTTTATGATTTGATAATATAAACAAATCTATACTTAACTTTGACAAATAAAACAAATAAATACTTTAGTAAGTATTTAATGTATATACTAAATAGGAATATATTTGGTATAATCGAATACCAAATATAATCAAATAAGTCAAAGTATACATTTTTATTTGGTATTTGATTTTTTTATTATTAAATTTTTTTTATTATACTTACCTTTTTAAAATAAAACAAATAAATAAATCAATTAAATAAATAAAATATTATAATACCAAAATAGTAATGGCATTTAATGCAGTTGACTTTTCTGGATAGTAAATATAGTAAATAGAATCTCCTTTTATATAAGTATAGATTTTATAATACGGAAATAGTAATGCAATAAATGTTGTTGACTTTTCTTTATACTAAATCTGGTAAATGGTATAATTTTTAATATAAATATAGATACATGTATATATCTATACTGTGTTTGGTAAAACTAGCTGATAAGCTAACTTATAGTTTATCAGTAA